GCAACAACGCCGCTGTGAGGACACACACACACACACACACACACACACACACACACACACACACACACACACACACACACACACACACACACACTCATCTCCGTCTGTATCTCTCTGCAGCAATACTTCGTCCTCCTCATCCTCACTGACGGTGAGATCACTGACTTCGACCAGACGAAGGACGCCATCGTGCGGGCGTCGCGGCTGCCCCTGTCCGTCATCATCGTGGGGGTGGGCCCGGCTGACTTCAAGGCCATGGAGCTGCTGGACGGGGACGACGGCGTGCTGAGGTCCACGGTGGGGGAGGCCGTCGCCAGGGACATCGTCCAGTTTGTCCCCTTCAGAAACTTCAAAGATGTAAGTGTGTGTGTGTGTGTGTGTTGTGTTGGACTGTTACTCAAGAAATAAACAACAACAAAGCAGCAACCACAAGGATTCATCCTTTGTGGCACTTCTGGTCTGTAGCTCTAGAGGTCTTTCCCCCTGCTAACTTTTCTTCTGCCTCCAGCTGGGTAAAAATGAAATAGACACTTTCATTAATTGTGGCTTGAATGTGATACCCTGCTCAAGAGTGTAATGCACGCGAGTATTGTCGACCAAAGGAAAACAATGATTGCTGGCCCTCTCAACGGGTAGGGGAAAAAACAAGTCAGATGATATAGGCAGGTGTAATACACAGAAAGTGTTGTTTTAGTTTTTGATTTAAACAAAAATAAAAATGGTCCAGTGGTTTGTCTTGCCAACAAGTTATGATCTAAATCTCTGGCTTGGGTTCTGGCAAATGTATGACTTTATTATCTCCGACAATATTCAAGTTTTGTTTCATGTACATTTAACGGTATTATTTGTCTAGCGGACTTAAAGATCAAATGCAAAGCTTTTTGTATAATTGCCAGTACAATCGAAATCATATAGCTACAACACTATCTAAGATATTGCAGTATTAAAATCGGAGATAATATGAGTCTGGCAATGCGCAATATTAATTTTGTTCAACCCCCAAAACCAAGTCCGACGATTTATTTTCTCCGCCGCAAGATGGCGGCGCGTGACGTCAGATGTGCCAAACATATTTCCACCTGGCTTATCAATCACAGCGGCTTCCGCCGATAGTACAACTAGTTTCGTCTATCATGTCTTATTCTGAGTCGACTATAGACTAAAAGCTTTAGGAATCCAAACTATAACATATAATAAGTACCCTGTATCAAGATTGATGCAAAACAAGTGAAATTTGACCTTTTTAGAGAGGTTTAGAAAAATAAAGTCCAGGCGCTCTGAGTGAGCCTCTGAATTAGCCCCGAGCGAAAAATGCTCGCAGCGGCTTCCGCCGATAGTACAACTTAGTTTCGTCTATCATGTCTGATTCTGAGTCGGAGGCCACCCAATATCTGGAGTATGTTGTCGACATCCAACAATATCTATACGAGCCTCTGATGTCGAAGAGGAAATACAAGGAAACGTCACCTGATATCACCGATGAAAGTGCTGATGGCGATGATTCAAGTTCGCCATCTGAGGAAGAGGCCGAGGGTGCTGAGAATTGGTGTAGATGTGGAAACTGCCAGACCATGCCTACAAGACGAGAAAACAAGTGCTGCCACAACTATGGGAAAGTGAAGGAAGAGATGGGAGAAGAAGTCCGCATCACCGACTGTAGGACGTTCGACATGTTCCGTTATGAGTGGAGGAGCGATGAATGAGCTGCAGATAAACTACAATGCTAACAGTGAATTAGCCCCGAGCGAAAAATGCTAACCTATCACTCCTAGCGCCCTTATTACTTATCCTAGCTCCACATCCAACACATTGTTTATGATCGTAAAGACACAGAATCTAACGGTGCCCACCACTATAAGCAATACAACTGCAATTCCGTTATCTGCGTTATCTGCTGTGCTCCGTGCGCTTTGAAATCTAATCAAAAGTTGTTTACCTCAATTCTTTGGCGTTTCTGCATTGCCCGGCTCTTTCGTTCTTTCAGTGGTTTCTTGTGCTGAAATATGGAAGGGACGGCTCCGGGTTTCAGCCTCCGACGTGCTATTAATGCTTCTCCACCAACAGACTTCATGATAGCAGGATCAACGTCGTATGCATCACACGCGAAGTGGTCAGAACACAACTTGCTCCATCTTGTCGGTTGCCATCCAACACGATTCACTAAAAAACTCCATTTTTTGCGGATGATTTGGTCTTTGGGAAATGCATGTAAAACTCTCCCAGATCCCGCACCGTTCGTACAACAAAAAGCTCAACAATAACCCATGTTCATTCAGTTTTATTTTCGAAAAACATGTGACCGAGACTGCCGAGTCGGGATATTTGGTCCAGAGACTGTTTGGCCACTATTACGTCACGCACGCGGAGGCTGCTGGGAATTACATGTCAGAAATTCAGACGGCTTTGGGTCGAGTTTTGGATCAATAAAAAGCTTTTTTTTGGGTGTATTATCTCGATTTAATTTTTTTTTTAATTACAGGCAGTCTTAAAAACAACATTTCTATAAAAATGTAGCATATTTGGAAGCTTTGCATTTGATCTTTAATCTGTTGTGTATCAGTATCTGTTAGCCCTTTGTGACCAAAACTACTGAGAACAATGAAAGCGAAGGAACTAACCGTCACCTTTTTGCATTCTAGCTGTGTCTGAGAAAATATAAAGATTAGACAGACAGTCAATTAAAAAACAACGGCAACATTTAAAAAGCAAGTTTTCAAACTGGGATCGTCGTGTTGCTCTCTGTATTCACTGTGGACACTCTGGAGTTTGAGTTGGATGTGTTGCTGAGGTCTCGTTTTATTGTTGTATTAATATACGTGTCATATTGTTTATGTTTAAGTCAAATGTATCCGAATGGGACAAATAGATGAACTGAAGTGAACCTATTGGAAGCACATTGGTAAACTCCAACCAGAACAGGAAGAACTGTTACAGTTGCTTCAATGATCATCTGGAACCTGTTGATTTAAGACAGACTTATTAGCACTTCCTCTGACATCTCTCTGTCTCTCTGCAGGCTCCACCGGCGTCTCTGGCTCAGTCTGTCCTCGCTGAGGTTCCTAACCAGCTGGTTTCTTATTTCAAAATGAGAGGCTTCGACCCCCCTAAACCCCCAGCCAAAGCTGCGGCCCCCAAATCCTAAACCTGGCAGCCTCAAAGCCTCAACGCCACCCCTGCACTCCCCACACCCACCTTTAAAGCTGAAGGCCCACCCTCATCTCATTCCAGGGTCACACCACTCTTCAGGGTCCAACCTAATGTGTTGCTAGCCAATCATAACGAAGCATTCAGCTGTCAGCCAATCAGAATGCCACAGCAGTTGTTCCCCAGTTAAACAATTATATTTTTTCATACTTTTCTCTTCATAGGTGTAATGATGATGTAATTTAGAATAGATGATTGACTTTGATTCCCTCTGCTGCTTGCACACTCTATGCAAATCACGTGTTAACTCGCTTGTGTTTAACAATCACGAAGCCTGATTAGCTTCAGGTATCGATACTTAGCACTTTGCTCTTGCACTCAATGCTGGGAAATGTTATCATGAATGATAATATTTGTTATCATAGCTTTACTAATACAGCCTTAATATAAAACCTTACTATTGCCTTACTGTAGTTTTAGCGCTTCAGCTTTATTGCTTCCAGACTGTTCTGTCACGACTCTCAGTGCCACCATCTTGGCTCCAAATTGTGAATGTACCATAAAGGCGCATTTTAAAGTGTAAACAACTCTTTCCCACGTAGGGTTTTATTGTTGGAATGCACACACAACAAAGGAATTGAAAACTCTCCCTCTCCGCCTTCTTTGCCTCATCGATTAACGGGGCTCTTTTTCTGTAATGGGAAGAGTTTCCACAAATCCTTTGGTTGCTTCTTCCAGCACCATTTATGCTACCATGGCATTTGGACCAGGTAATAACAAAAGTGCTGTCCTCTTCATGTTTTGGTTCCTTCCTTTGTGAGCATGGGACCTGAGCATCACACTGAGAGTCTGACTGAATCTGATCTGCTTATTAACCAAAAGTATTCTTCTAAAAACATGCACACTTCTATTGTCAAATTGTGTCAAAACTCATGTTCACTGCAGAAAAACCGCAGTTAATGTTACATTGCCAACTAAATCGTTTTTTGCCAACGCTTCCTCTACAGAAACTTCACTTAGACATGTTTGCTGTTTTTCTTCAGGGTCCATTTTATTAAAGTGATTTTGTATATTTGTTGCGCTGATACTTTTTTCAACTTAAGCCACAAGATTTATTCTTCATTTAAATCAAAAGATGTGGGATAATAGCTGGTTAGTTAAGGAAGTGAGAGAAGAATGTTTTTGTCAAACATTTGTCAAAAAGCTCGAGGCAGAAGCGTCTGAGGTGCCATCAGTGTCGGCAGTTTGGATCAAATTGGTTTCAGTTTTCCCATGATGACAACATAATAAGGTTTTAAATTGTAACATTTGAGAATTGAAACAGTCGGAATAGAACTTGAAATATCTAATGAAGTGGACCATGATGTCAGAGTGTGTGTTTAATGTCATTTGCCAAACTGCAGCGGATTCTGTAACTTGAAGTTTGTCCCCGTCAGGCTGCCATGACGTCTTTTTGTATTCTTCTACATTGCCAGTGACTTGTTTAATTTCTGTTTCTATTTGAAGGGAACCTTTGTTTTCACATGTTTGGTTTAAATTGGTGAAAGAGGTTTCTAATGGTAGAAACTTTGGCCAACATCATGGAGTTTTCATTTTAACCAGACTGTTGATGGAATAAAGTGAAAGCAATCATTATAGAAATCAGAGAGAATTACAAGGCTGCCTTTTCTTTGCTGCACGGCTCACTGTGAATACTTTTTATATCATTTTTTGTATCTGTTAAACGTTTATTTTTCTGTTTACATCCTTGTTGATCCACATCATCATGTGACCACCAGCCCCACCGCTCACTTATTCACACAACTGCTTAAACCAACCAGTATAACTAAAACCAGTATAACCAGTTACTCTATATCATGTCTGTATGAGCACTGCCTGGTAGAAAACAATAATAAAAACATATTTGGGAAAAGAATGTATTTACTTTGTTTCAGGAGGAAAGTGAGAAAAATAAATAATGATTGTGATTCAGTCATAACCAGGAGAGAAAGATTCAGGATACATTTTCTTTAGTACTTTTTTCTGTGAAAACAGGTGGACAAATGTTTTTTTAATTGATATTTATATTATATTCGATGTGTAATCGTGTTGATTTTTAATTAAAGGTGGGGTAGGTACGTTTGAGAAACCGGCTCGAGATACACTTTTTGTTATATTCCATGGAATGCTCTTAACATCCCGATAGCAATGAATATCTTAAGTGCTTTGACAATAAATACATAAATCGTCATCTGTGGAAGCCGTAGTACTGTAAAAAGTACAACCAATCATTTGAGCCGCCCCCGGCTAAAGTAACTGGATGGCCTACCTGCCTGTCAGCCTTCCATCTGGGCACAAACTTATCTCGTGCCCTCATTGGTCATGTGCGCGTTCGTGTGTGTTGGAGGAGGGGCTCTGTAAGGAAGTGGCAGATTTTTTCCGGCTGTGTATTTTCAAATTCTATCGCACTCGAGCTGGTTTCTCCAAAACTACCTACCCCACCTTTAAGTGGCAATTAAAAAAACATTTATAGCCAAAATACATTATATTAATGAATTGCATAATAATGATCAGTCACACACTCACAGGAACGAAGCAAGTACTTTTACATCAAGCACATTTTGGATCAATATTTTACTTTATAAGACTTTACAAACAGGATTTTACTGGTAATGGATTATATGTTACATTATTTTATTGGTATTAAGTTGATAATTTCAACACTTTTCCCATCTGTCCTACAGCAACAAACAACTTCATGTTATATTAAATCATACTTTACTGTAACACCAGGGACAATTAATGCTTTAATTTGATTTAACTACAAGACCGTTGCTTCTTCTCTACAGCCTACAAGATATAACTGTCCCAGATATGGCTTCCAGATTTGATAGATATGTGGAAAACTAAAATGTTGGGCTCATGATGTCCCCAGGTTAAAGTAAAGTTTGTTGTACTTTGTGTTTTCTTGTCCTTTTCTTGCTTCTAGCTCGATTTCCCTCCAGAGAAACAGCAGTCAGTACATCACACAAACACACGACTTCATTTATAAATGAATAACTTTAATGAAATACTTTGATAACATCTGATTTGGGTAAAGAGTAGTTTTCATATTGTTATACTGAGGTGATTGGGCTAAGTGTGTGTTTCAGTGTGTGTATTTTCTGAGAAGGAAACTAGTTGAGCAACTCTATTTGCTTTCTCAAACATTAGAAGACCTGCCCTAACAGACACACACACACACTCTCTCAGGTACCTCCTATAACCTTGTTAGAAAACACACACAGCAGTTAGTTTCCAACAGTCGAAGAGAGCAGAGGAGACGACTACAGTGAGACACGATGTAGAGAGACAGACAGCTGAACACAGACAGGTGTACAGACGGACAGGATCATCATGTCCATCAGTGTGAATCTGAAGAAGATCTCCAACCTGCCGGGGCGATCTGACAGAAAGGTGGAACTGTGCTTCAGAGGTCAGTAACTCACATTCATTCTTGAGGTTATTGCAGTTTACTTGAGTTTTTCCAGTTCATGTTCATTTTTATACTTCAGCTCCAACTCAATTCATCAACTGAACTTTGCTTGTTTAGATTATTAATATAAAATATTAACTAATAAATATGATGTAATATTATAATAAAAAAATACCCTGCCTGAGGAAATACAGCAGGCTGTCAGTTGCTTCTGTTATTGCAAAGCCTTCCGTGATGTTATCTGATTCTAGCGTTATTTCTGTTTAACTTCTACCATTTAAAAAAAAAAAAAGAAGAAGTAATTTGTTAAGCAATTTTTGCTGTGTTTTAAGGTGTTTTTTTAGCTGGCTGTGTAGATGATGTTGTAACTTTATTGATCCCCTCAGAGAAAACACAAAGAGTACATTAAGTTATAAAAGTTAGCCCCACCTTTAATGCTTTTACTGAAGTACAGATCTGAGTACTTCATCGCCCTCTGGACAGTGATGTTACCCTTTTGAGGCGGCAGTGGCTCAGTCTGTAGGGACTTGGTCTGGGAACCGAAGGGTTGCCGGTTCACATCCTGATCGGACTAAAAAAAAAAATATATGGAGTGAGCAGGTAGCTGGAGAGGGGCCAGTTCACCTCCTAGGCCACTGCCGAGGTGCCCTTGCCCAAACTGCTCCCTTGGTGCTGGGTACCTGGCAGCCTCTCTGCTCTGCATGTGGTGGTGTGTGCATGTATATCCTCTGTGTGTGCATGTATATCCTCTGTGCATGTATATCCTCTGTGTGTGTGCATGTATATCCTCTGTGTGTGCATGTATATCCTCTGTGTGTGTAATCACCATGGGGAAAGAAATGTCGATGAATAAAGTATGTCTTCTTCTTCAACATACAAAATACCACACCATAAAAATACTCAATTTGAAGTGAGACTTAAAGTCTAACTTAATTTTCACACAATAAATGAATACTAGGCAGGGTAAGACACAGTATCATTGTTAGATTCAGATTGATCCTGATTTTTGAATGTATTTGATTTGAATATTTCTCAAAATAATACCCTTCACACATAAAAAAACAAAGACACAATATTTGAATGATACTGGTAACTTTGCAGTATCAGATCATTAATGCAAAACATACATTTTCTCATAGTTAAAAATATGACTCAAGGTTAAGCCACACAGACTTCTTAACGCCTGAGCTTGCAGTCATTTTCTTTTTTGATGTCTTGTATATATTTAAATTGCATTGTTAAGGAACCTGTGACCCAAGTCTTTCATATCATATATACAGGACATTTGTCTATGACATTAAACCTTTTCAATCTTTTGAATCCTTGATTTGTATCACAGCAGTATAAAGATATCAAAACTAGCTCTGAGTACTTCCTCCATCAGTGCTGTTGCAATGGTTAACTGTCTGTCTGTCTTCCTGTCTGTCCTCCAGGCTTTACCCACAAAACCAAGGCTCTGCAGTGTGAGAACTTGGCCATCTTCAACGAGGTCAGTAAAACAAACATCCCTCATCTGATGCAAGGAGCAGGCTAGCTTTTTTTTGGCTAAAAAAAATCACAAAGATTTCAGTCAATGGCTAAATATCACATACATACAGGATTGTGTTTTTGTATATGATCTGACGCTCTTCACCAGAATGAGAGCGTTGCTGTTCTGAGAAACAGAGGAGTCTATTTCTACATGGTTTAACTAACTGGTTACTTTAAATGCATGAAGGTTATTTTACGATGGACATTCGACAGACTGTCAGAAATCAGAGGACGGTTAGCTCACATCATAGGGTTTCAGTTAGGGACTAGGGAAATTACCTATTATATTTCACAAAACCAACGTCATTTCAATGCCTTTGCCTTTGAATTTAGCCTGCCAGGCTTTGAAGGATCCCAGCTTCTTTGTTCCGCAGCAGGTTTGTGGTCTCTGAGAGTTTCATGGAGAGACCATCCTCGACCTTACTGAGATCCAGAATGTCAGTGTCCCTCTGAAGGATCTGCTTCTCCAACAGGTCCACCTTCCTCTGGTATTCTTTCCTCTGGTCGTCAAGAGTTGCCAGCATGGTTAGGTCTGAGACTCTTTCTTTCTTCTCTCAATGCCTGGCCACCATCTCCTGCCTGCTCTGGTGCTGAGTGAACTCCATCTTCTCCTCTTTGAGAGGGGAGATTTCTGTCTGAGTCAGACTTTTGCTGTTTTTAATCCATTACCGTCCATTCATTTAAAGAGATTATTTAAAGTCTTACTTACAGTAAATAAGCAGTAGATAGAAAACCATAACAGCATTGCCGACCAACAACTTTTACATCCAAGGTGTGCGTGTGCGTGTGTGTGTGTGTACTGTGTTACAGCAGGTAGCTGCAGTTGTTTGTTTGCTTCAGATTGAAACTATTTTAATGGAGCTGATAGGAAACTGCACCACTCCTATAGTACACACAAACACACAGACACACACACTGCCCCTCCTTCATCACACACACAACTAAAGATGTGATTCTTTTTTATTGTACTTTGCTGTGCCCAATGAGGCTACTGAAGAAATAAAACAACAACCAAAAACTCCCTTTTTACCTCACAATGTTTTTGCAGGAATGAAGAGTGGAATCTCAATTATTAGATGGATTAGATTTGATAGATTGGAGTCACATTTTGTTCATGTACTCCAGTGGATGTATCACTATGGCTACACATGAAAAGGAAGACATTTGCCTCAGAATAAACATTTGCTATGGATTGCAACTCCCTCCCACTATAATAAGCACAGCCATTTGAGAGCGAAAAGGTCCTTCATGACAATCCTTCATTACTCCATGTATCATAGACTGTCAGTTGTTGGCTCTAAAGTAAGCACTGAAGTGAGATTTCACACAGACATTTTCAAATCTAGAAAATACAATGCACTGCACTATGGGAGCGTTGGACATGTTATGGATGCTGCTTGGAATTTCCAACTCAGATGAAATGGCGGATAGTCACAGCTGTACTGAATAGTTTGAGCTTCATTAACAGCGTTGACATTCAGATTGTAAATCAGATTGACACTGCACAGCTTTTTTTTGTTTTACATTTCTATTAATTCTGTAAAACCTGATATTTGTGTGCAATTGCAGATCCAATGAATCCCACCATCAACTACTGAGGACTTTGTTTGAGTTAATGGCTTGATTTTTGTTTGACTTTTTGCTTTTATTGGGGGATGACTTCATGAAATAGTGCCAGACATCCAAAGCTTAGTTTGTAAACCTCAATTGAAAACATTCAGGAAAGCACTTTGGACAGAAAAATATCTTGCAATATATATTAAATGGTTAGGGATTTTAGCACTATTTTCATTGAATAAGAGAGTAGATGAGAACTGGATGGGTAATACATGTTTTTCTATTTCTGCCACTGCCACTGAGGCTCATGGGTATTGTAGTTATTGCAGCCATGTAGACCAAACATAACATAGTTTACTTATACAATTTTG